AAACAACTTCTTATCAATTCCTTTTATAAAATCTTTTATAATTTTCATCTTTACAGTCATCTTCCATCCCTTCATTGTATCAACCCTTATTTCGTACATATAGGAGTCTTTCTTCCTTTAAAATTTTAGGAGGCATTTTCTTCTAACAGACCAAAATACGCCCAAAATCTAGTGTGTGGCACTGATCTATGCACTAGCCTGATCACATATGATCATATTCTGATTTTTTTTGTTTCGTTCTGTTTTTGTTTTTATCTTTTTCTTTTTTTTCTTTCTTTTTTCTTTCTTTCCCTTTCTTTTCCCCTGGTTTCAGGTCTTTTCTGATTTCTATAGAGTATATTTGCTGGGGACGTTGTTAACCTGTTAGCATTTTGTTCTCTCATTCATCTATTCTCCTCTGGACAAAATGACAAGACGAAAAAAATCACCTCAGTAAAAAGAACAAGGGGTAGTACCGTCTGCCAGGGACCTACTCAATACGGACATTACTACGATGTTGGACCTAGAGTTCAGAATCATGACTTTAAAGATACTAGCTGGGCTTGAAAAAAGCATGGAAGTTATTAGAGAAACCCTTTCTGGAGAAATAAAGGAACTAAAATCTAACCAAGTCGAAATCAAAAAGGCTATTGATGAGGTGCAATAAAAAATGGGGGCACTAATTGCTAGGATAAATGAGGCAGAAGAGAGAATCAGCGATATAGAAGACCAAAAGATGGAAAAAAAAGAGGCTGAGAAAAAGAGAGATAAACAACTACAGGACCACGAGGGCAGAATTCAAGAGATAAGTGATATGATAAGACGAAACAACATTAGAATAATTGGGATCCCAGAAGAAGAAGAAAGAGAGAGAGGGGCAGAAGGTATGTTGGAGCAAATAATAGCAGAGAACTTCCCTAATGTGGGGAAGGAAACAGGCATCAAAATCCAGGAGGCACAGAGGACCCCTCTCAAAATCAATAAAAATAGGTCAACACCCCAACATCTAATAGTAAAACTTACGAGTCTCAGAGACAAAGAGAAAATCCTGAAAGCAGCTCGGGAGAAGAGATATGTAACCTACAATGGTAGAAGCATTAGATTGGCAACAGACCTATCCACAGAGACCTGGCAGGCCAGAAAGGACTGGCAAGATATCTTCAGAGCACTAAACGAGAAAAATATGCAGCCAAGAATACTATATCCAGCTAGGCTGTCATTGAAAATTGAAGGAGAGATCAAAACCTTCCAGGACAAACAAAAACTAAAGGAATTTGCAAACACGAAACCAGCCCTACGAGAAATATTGAAAGGGGTCCTCTGAGCAAAGAGAGAGCCTAAAAGCAGCATAGATCAGAAAGGAACACAGACAATATACAGTAACAGTCACCTTACAGGCAATACAATGGCACTAAATTCATACCTTTCAATAGTTACCCTGAATGTAAATGGGCTAAATGCCCCAATCAAAAGACACAGGCTATCAGACTAGATTAAAAAACAAGACCCATCGATATGCTGTCTGCAAGAGACTCATTTTAGACCCAAAGACACCCCCAGATTGAAAGTGAAGGGGTGGAAAGCCATTTACCATGCTAATGGACACCAAAAGAAAGCTGGGGTAGCAATCCTTATATCAGACAAATTAGATGTTAAAGCAAAGACCGTAATAAGAAATGAAGAAGGACACTATATCCTACTTAAAGGGTCTATCCAATAAGAAAATCTAACAATTGTAAATATCTATGCCCCTAACATGGGAGCAGCCAATTATAAAAGGCAATTAATAACAAAAGCAAAGAAACACATTGACAACAATACAATAATAGTGGGGGACTTTAACACCCCCCTGACTGAAATGGACAGATCATCTAAGCAAAAGATCACCAAGGAAATAAAGACTTTAAATGAAACACTGGACCAAATGGACTTCACAGACATATTCAGAACATTCCATCCCAAGGCAACGGAATACACATTCTTCTCTAGTGCCCATAGAACGTTCTCCAGAACTGATCACATCCTAGGTCACAAATCAGGTCTCAACCGGTACCAAAAGATTGGGATTGTTCCCTGCACATTTTCAGACCACAATGCTTTGAAACTAGAACTCAATCACAAGAGGAAAGTCGGAAAGAACTCAAATACATGGAGGCTAAAGAGCATCCTACTAAAGAATAAATGGGTCAAACAGGAAATTAAAGATGAATTTAAAAAATTCATGGAAACCAATGAAAATGAAAACACAATTGTTCAAAATCTTTGGTATACAGCAAAGGCAGTCCTGAGAGGAAAGTGTATAGCA